TCCACCACATCACTGCCTAATGCATTCCATCCGTTAACTACTCTGACACTGAAAAAGTTCCTTCTAACGTCTCTGTGGCTCATGTGGGTACTCAGTTTCCACCTGTGTCCCCTTGTTCACATCCCACCAGTGTTGAATAGTTTATCCTTGTTTACCCGGTCGATTCCTCTGAGGATTTTGTAGGTTGTGATCATGTCTCCCCTTACTCTTCTGTCTTCCAGTGTCGTACGGTGCATTTCCCGCAGCCTTTCCTCGTAACTCATGCCTCTTAGTTCTGGGACTAGTCTAGTGGCATACCTTTGGACTTTTTCCATCTTCGTTCTGTGCTTGACAAGGTACGGGCTCCATGCTGGGGCCGCATACTCCAGGATTGGTCTTACATATGTGGTGTACAAGATTCTGAATGATTCCATACACAGGTTCCTGAACGCTGTTCTGATGTTAGCTAGCCTCGCATATGCCGCAGACGTTATTCTTTTTATGTGGGCTTCAGGAGACAGGTTTGGTGTGATATCAACTCCTAGATCTTTCTCTCTGTCCGTTTCATTAAGTACTTCATCTCCTATTCTGTATCCTGTGTGTGGCCTCCTGTTTCCACTGCCTAGTTTCATTACTTTGCATTTACTCGGGTTGAACTTCAACAGCCATTTGTTGGACCATTCATTCAGTCTGTCTAGGTCATCTTGTAGCCTCCTACTATCGTCCTCAGTTTCAATCCTCCTCATAATTTTTGCATCATCGGCAAACATTGAGAGAAACGATTCTATACCCTCTGGGAGATCATTTACATATATCAGAAACAGTATAGGTCCAAGGACTGACCCCTGCGGGACTCCACTCGTAACGTCTCGCCAATCTGAGACCTCACCCCTCACACTGACTCGTTGTCTCCTATTGCTTAGGTATTCCTCTATCCACCGGAGTACCTTCCCTTTCACTCCAGCCTGCATCTCCAGATTTTTTCACTAGCCTCTTGTGTGGCACTGTATCAAAGGCTTTTTGGCAATCCATAAATATGCAGTCTGCCCACCCTTCTCTTTCTTGCCTTATTTTTGTTGCCTGTGTGTGTGTGTTTGTGTGTGTACTCACCTAGTTGTACTCACCTAGTTGTGTTTGCGGGGGTTCAGCTCTGGCTCTCAGGTCCCGCCTCTCAACCGTCAATCAACAGGTGTACAGATTCCTGAGCCTATTGGGCTCTATCATATCTACACTTGAAACTGTGTATGGAGTCAGCCTCCACCACATCTCTTCCTAATGCATTCCATTTGTCTACCACTCTGACACTAAAAAAGTTCTTTCTAATATCTCTGTGGCTCATTTGGACACTCAGTTTCCACCTGTGTCCCCTTGTGCGTGTTCCCCTTGTGTTAAATAGCCTGTCTTTATCTACCCTATCAATTCCCTTCAGAATCTTGAATGTGGTGATCATGTCCCCCCTAACTCTTCTGTCTTCCAGCGAAGTGAGGTTTAATTCCCGTAGTCTCTCCTCGTAGCTCATACCTCTCAGCTCGGGTACTAGTCTGGTGGCAAACCTTTGAACCTTTTCCAGATTAGTCTTATCCTTGACTAGATATGGACTCCATGCTGGGGCTGCATACTCCAGGATTGGCCTGACATATGTGGTATACAAAGTTCTGAATGATTCTTTACACAAGTTTCTGAATGCCGTTCGTATGTTGGCCAGCCTGGCATATGCCGCTGATGTTATCCGCTTGATATGTGCTACAGGAGACAGGTCTGGCGTGATATCAACCCCCAAGTCTTTTTCCTTCTCTGACTCGTGAAGAATTTTTTCTCCCAGATGATACCTTGTATCTGGCCTCCTGCTCCCTACACCTATCTTCATTACATTACATTTGGTTGGGTTAAACTCTAACAACCATTTGTTCGACCATTCCTTCAGCTTGTCTAGGTCTTCTTGAAGCCTCAAACAGTCCTCTTCTGTTTTAATCCTTCTCATAATTTTAGCATCGTCCGCAAACATTGAGAGAAATGAATCGATACCCTCTGGGAGATCATTTACATATATCAGAAACAAGATAGGACCGAGTACAGAGCCCTGTGGGGCTCCACTGGTGACTTCACGCCAATCGGAGGTCTGACCCCTCACCGTAACTCTCTGCTTCCTATTGCTTAGATACTCCCTTATCCACTGGAGCACCTTACCAGCTACACCTGCCTGTCTCTCCAGCTTATGTACCAGCCTCTTATGCGGTACTGTGTGTGTGTGTGTGTGTGTGTGTGTGTGTGTGTGTGTGTGTGTGTGTGTGTGTGTGTGTGTGTGTGTGTGTGTGTGTGTGTGTGTGTGTGTGTGTGTGTGTGTGTGTGTGTGTGTGTGTGTGTGTGTGTGTGTGTTGTGTTAGTGTTGTCTTATTATTCTAAGTTTATGCTTCTTGTAAGGTGATGTTCATCTGATTATCTTGCTTTCTGTTTATCCAAATGTCTGTTTATCCGAATGTCGGCTTATCCGAATATCGGCTTCTCCGTCTATTGACTCTCGGAGTGTTGGGTTATCGGACTGTTCTCTTCCAACTATTGAATTTATTGGAATGTTGTCTAATCCTGACAGTTGACTTAAGCGGCTGTAGGGTTATCCGGCGGTCGGTTCATCCGGCTGTCATTTTATCCGGCTGTCGGTTAATCCGAGTGCTATATAGCTTCGTGGAGTCTTTCCTTGACTCTTAATCTTTGCATGCCATATTTTGGGAGTATATTTATGTATGGGCAGCTGTGTCACACTGTGGGCAGCTGTGTCACACTGTGGGCAGCTGTGTCACACTGTGGGCAGCTGTGTCACACTGTGGGCAGCTGTGTCACACTGTGGGCAGCTGTGTCACACTGTGGGCAGCTGTGTCACACTGTGGGCAGCTGCGTCACACTGTGGGCAGCTGTATCACACTGTGGGCAGCTCTGTCGCACTATGGGCAGCTGTGTCACACTGTGGGCAGCTCTGTCGCACTGTGGGCAGCTGTGTCACACTGTGGGCAGCTGCGTCACACTGTGGGCAGCTGTATCACACTGTGGGCAGCTCTGTCACACTGTGGGCAGCTCTGTTACACTGTGGGCAGCTGTCACACTCTGGGCAGCTGCGTCACACTGTGGGCAGCTGTGTCACACTGTGGGCAGCTGTGTCACACTGTGGGCAGCTGTGTCACACTGTGGGCAGCTGCGTCACACTGTGGGCAGCTGTATCACACTGTGGGCAGCTCTGTCACACTGTGGGCAGCTGTGTCACACTGTGGGCAGCTGTATCACACTGTGGGCAGCTGTGTCACACTGTGGGCAGCTCTGTCACACTCTGGGCAGCTTTGTCACATTCTGGGCAGCTCTGTCACACTGTGGGCAGCTGCGTCACACTGTGGGCAGCTGTGTCACACTGTGGGCAGCTGTGTCACACTGTGGGCAGCTGTGTCACACTGTGGGCAGCTGCGTCACACTGTGGGCAGCTGTATCACACTGTGGGCAGCTCTGTCACACTGTGGGCAGCTGTGTCACACTGTGGGCAGCTGTATCACACTATGGGCAGCTCTGTCACACTGTGGGCAGCTCTGTCACACTCTGGGCAGCTGTGTCACACTGTGGGCAGCTCTGTCACACTGTGGACAGCTGTGTCACACTGTGGGCAGCTCTGTTACACTGTGGGCAGCTCTGTTACACTGTGGGCAGCTCTGTCACACTCTGGGCAGCTCTGTCACACTGTGGGGCAGCTCTGTCACACTGTGGGCAGCTCTGTCACACTGTGGGCAGCTCTGTCACACTGTGAGCAGCTCTGTCACACTGTGGGCAGCTCTGTTACACTGTGGGCAGCTCTGTCACACTCTGGGCAGCTCTGTCACACTGTGGGGCAGCTCTGTCACACTGTGGGCAGCTCTGTCACACTGTGGACAGCTGTGTCACACTGTGGGCAGCTCTGTTACACTGTGGGCAGCTCTGTCACACTCTGGGCAGCTCAGTCACACTGTGGGGCAGCTCTGTCACACTGTGGGCAGCTCTGTCACACTGTGGGCAGCTCTGTCACACTGTGGACAGCTGTGTCACACTGTGGGCAGCTCTGTCACACTGTGGAGCAGCTCTGTCACACTGTGGGCAGCTGTGTCACACTGTGGGCAACTCTGTCACACTGTGGGCAGCTGTGTCACACTGTGGGCAGCTCTGTCACACTGTGGGCAGCTGTGTCACACTGTGGGCAGCTGTGTCACACTGTGGGCAGCTCTGTCACACTCTGGGTTATAATAATACACTAACAAATGTGTTATAGCAATTTTTTCACGTGTTATTTTCAATATACTTCTATAAGAATTTTGATAATTTTCATTCAAACAAGATAAAAATAGAGGTTTCATTCTGTACGTTAGTGAAGGATTAATCGACTGTACACGTGGCAGTGTTGAGGTGTAGCCCAGTCAATCCGTCAGTCCCGTGTTTGGAGTTAACGTTGAGTGGAGATGGTGTCTCATGTTCCTTGCGTAGTGCTTAAGTTGCTTTGAGTATTTTGCGAACTTAAATTACCTTTTACATGCAGGCGATGAGTCACAATAACGTGGCTGAAGTATGTTGACAATCGACTTGAGAATGGTCCAGGACGAACCGAAACGTCGTCGTCCCTTCAATTTCTAGTGTGTGGTCTGGTCAACTTACCTTTTACATGGTTATGGTGGGTTCAGGTGATCATTGGTCAAGCTTATAGTGGTGCAGGTGGTCTTTGTGGGTGCAACAAAGGTGTACAAACTATAGGGAAACATGTGTATATTAATGCTCATCTTAACCTCTGTTATATACACCAGTTGAATTGGTTTTTTGAATAGACAACGTCACAGAACACCAGTGTTTGAGGACTGTTCACCAGCGAGTCAGGAATACCAAATTTCTTTTTTCAAAATCTCCACAAAGAATGGCAGCGTTGTAGAATGTTGTTGACCATTGAATTTCCTGCCCACCTGCGACACGTTGCAATTTCAAGAGGAGAACAGTCAATGCTCTATATGAAATGAATGTTGCAGCATTCTGCCAGCATCTAACTCAAGAGATGCTGCATCTGCGGCGGCGGGTGTTAAGAGCAGCGTGAGTGATGCTCAATCCGACCTCTGGTTGGCATTGATGTCCAAAGTGATGCTTCTTGTTGATGTGTGTTCTCAGATTATGTCTAGAAATATTGCTGCAGCTTAGGTTGATGCCACTTTTTAAAGCTTTCACTTTTGTCGTTCAGAAATTAAGAGATGAATGTGATGTGTCTGCGCCTCCTGAGCCAGAGAGAGAGACCAGAATTTAATTCAGAGATCAGTTGTTGCAAAGCCAGTTTGTGAGATGAACAAATCCTCAAGGGCCGTGACTACAAATCCATTGTGGATTTGTTCATTTGATGCATCACGTTAGTGTGATTTCTGTGTGTAAGTTTGTGAGGTAATTGTTGCAATTCAGAACTAGTTTCAAGTTTACAAATCATTTAGAAGCTAACAAGTTAGTTTTAGTGAATAATTGTTCCAGTAGATACTAAAGAGTCTCTAGTACTGCACTAATACAAGACAACTTGAGGACCCAAGTTACACTCTACACAGGGGAAGATTTGCGTCAATCAGAAACCCTCACTGACCAGTTGCACATAATGATCGATAACCATTTACAGTCAACGTTTTCAATAACTGTCAAGATACTGAACATTCATGTAACAGCCCCAGCGACACCGGCAGAAACAGAAAAGGGGATTTTCAACATAGAAGTGAAGCAAGACAGTTTGGAGCAGGACCGAGGCGAATGAGACACCGTCTGCTTCAGCGATTGAAAATATAATGATACCAGAAATAAAGGATTTTTATGAGCGAATGATAAACCATTTTGTTACATTGAAGAGCCGACGTATGTTACATTAAGGTCACGGAGCTCAGTCACGGAACTCAGTCACGGAGCTCAGTCACGGAGCTCAGTTACGGAACTCAGTCACGGAGCTCAGTCACGGAACTCAGTCACGGAGCTCAGTCACGGAACTCAGTCACGGAGCTCAGTCACGGAGCTCAGTCACGGAGCTCAGTTACGGAGCTCAGTCACGGAGCTCAGTCACGGAGCTGACAATGATCACCACTGTGGCCCCTACACTGTGCAATGATCGCCTCCAGCTCCTGCAGTATTGCAAGAGAATTGCAGATGTGGTGGCTCGAACGCCAGACCTGATCCAGGTTCCTGTGCTCCGTCTCACGTTGTTGTTGTAGATTCATCTACTCGGAACAAAAAGTTGCAAGTAGCACAGGCTATGGTGAGCCCGTAGTGGACTTACCTGGCACAGGAGCGGTGCAAGTAGCACAGGCTATGGTGAGCCCGTAGTGGACTTACCTGGCACTGGAGCGGGGCAAGTAGCACGGGCTATGGTGAGCCCGTAGCGGACTTACCTGGCACAGGAGCGGGGCAAGTTGCACGGGCTATGGTGATCCCGTAGTGGACTTACCTGGCACAGGAGCGGGGCAAGTAGCACAGGCTATGGTGAGCCCGTAGTGGACTTACCTGGCACAGGAGCGGTGCAAGTAGCACAGGCTATGGTGAGCCCGTAGTGGACTTACCTGGCACAGGAGCGGGGCAAGTAGCACGGGCTATGGTGAGCCCGTAGTGGACTTACCTGGCACAGGAGCGGGGCAAGTAGCACGGGCTATGGTGAGCCCGTAGCGGACTTACCTGGCACAGGAGCGGGGCAAGTAGCACAGGCTATGGTGAGCCCGTAGTGGACTTGCCTGGCACAGGAGCGGGGCAAGTAGCACGGGCTATGGTGATCCCGTAGTGGACTTACCTGGCACAGGAGCGGGGCAAGTAGCACGGGCTATGGTGATCCCGTGGTGGAGTTTATCCATTAAAACAGGATAATGTGGATTTTTCATATCTATTCTAATTCTATATTTGTTTTGCTCTGGAAGTAGAGGCAATGCTTCTTATTTTGTTCTTTGTAGTTAATCCGTCCGCGTCACTCGCTGCGTCCATCTGTCTGTCTGTCCCCATGCGCCCGACTGTACGTCAACCTGACTATCTGTATCGCTGCATCTGTCTGTATACCCCTCCGTCTGTCCTCGTCCCCGTCGGTCTAAACCAGTCCGCCCTCCTAAGGTTCCCCCAACGTCCAGAAAACGGTCAATGTAAAGTGGTCTCTCCTAACCTACCAGAGGACCTAAAACAGAAAATGGGACAGTACGTCACTTTCGCCAGCCGCCTCCATTTTCTAGTACGACAATTTTTGACCGTATGTGACGCATACGGTCGAAAAGCGACGTTCCTTGTAGGAGGACAGGTTGTTGACTCCTTCTGTCTGTTCAGAACTGTCCAGCGCTCAATTTTCTATCTAACTGCTTACGCTCTCCCCTTCCACCCAAAGCTCCCCCCCCCTCCACATCCCACAGACCCCAACCTCCAAACCCCAACTACACCCCAGCGCCTCATTCCTTAACCCACTGTCGGAAATCCGACACAACATTCTATACTACCAGAGTAACCGTTATAAGAGGTTATTAATTTACTTTAGTCAGTCAGTAAAAGAAAGGAGAATGGGATAGCCGTGACGTCACGGCATTTCAACATATATTTACACATCAGGTATCCTTTAAACAACAGTTTAAGCATTAGAATTAATAGAAACGTGTTTTGTGTGATTTAACTTGAAGAAATATACCATAAACATGAGGGTTCCCTTCCTATTGTCAAGTAAAGACAGAGAAGGAACCAAATTGTTGGGACGCCGCGCTGACAAGGAAGCGACACAGTCACTGGAATGTAAACAAGAGAACACACGATCGTCGGTTTGCTGTTTTGGTCGCCAGGTGGTGTGGGCGTCCCTGCCCTACCAGTTTTGTTGCCTGCCTGGCTGCGTTGACGTGGCAGTTCTGACATGGGGGGGCCATCTTCCTCCTGTTCAGCGTGTGAACTCCGTGGGCCTGGAGTTCACTTGTAAGGCTGGTTATCCGACCATCGAGATGGTGATGTGTGACATGCTTCGTGTCCGGTGGAAGCTGTTTACGGTGTGGAGCTAGTTTCGGCCCATCGGGTTGTTATTAAGTTCGTGAGGGAGGACGAGTACCGGGACTTCCTCCGTCGGTACGGGGGGCGTACGTTGCCGTTGCCAGACGATGCCGGCTCTGTGGCGATTTCACCGCAGTGGTGCCCTGACTTATGTCAGTATCCATGGTGCGCCCCTGGAATTCCCTGATGACCTTCTCCAGCGTTACTTCGGGGGTTTTGGTACTGTTGTCAGCGTGCGAGTGAACACGCTCTCCTCGGGGCGGTATGCTGGGAGGCGTACAAACATTCGCACGTTGGGGATGCGCCTGCGGTCGGATATACCTTCTTCTGTCCAGCTTATGGGGTACTATGTCCGGGTGTATTATGCCCGGCAGCCTCGTACCTGTTTCCGGTGTGGCCTGTTGGGGCATCAGGCTGCCGGGTGCTCTGAGGCCCCTGCTGCTCCTGTCAACTTGTTCCGCGACGAGGATTTCCCGCCGCTCCCTCTGGAGGCAGTCTCCGGTGATGTTGATGAGGTGGTGCGCGTCCCGTCTGCTGCTGCCGCTTCCCCGGCGCCGCCTGCCGTTCCTCCGGTTGTTGCCGTCCCTCCTCCGGTTCTTGAGGTACCGTCGGTTGATCTGCCTGATCCTGTCGCTGTCCCAGCTGCTCCCGTGGGCCATCCTGGAGCTCCCTGTGTGACGTCGCTGTCTTCTCCCTCGTCTTCTGATGCTGCACCTGGCCCTGTGTCCGTGACTCGGGTCCCGGATGTGCTTGGTGCTGGGGTGACTGCGGAACCTCCCGCTGTGTGTGGCCCGGTTCCCCCTGTGATAGAGGCTGCTGTTGTCCTGGCGTCGGTTCCTTCGGCTCGTGGTACCCGTGTTTCTGGGTCACTTACCGGCTCGGACGATATCCGGCTGGTGCCCAAACGTTCCCGGCGTTCGTCTTCTTCCTGGGCCGACGTTGGTGACTTCAGTGACTGTGGGGCTTCAGATGTTGACAGTGTGGATACGGATGCGTCGATGTCTCCGCGGTTCGTGGTGGCGGAGGTCCATGTGCCTGCCGGTGCTGGTGCCTGTGTCTCGGACGTGCCTTCGGTTCTTTCTCCGCCGGGGGATTCTCCGCTGTGGGGGGTGGTGGCTTCTGCTGCCAGGGATGGTGTGGACTCTGGTGCTGGGCGTGGCCTGGTGGTGACGTTACGGAAGGATGCGCGCCGTCCGGGTTCCCTGCTGTCGTCTGGTGGTGTGCCCGGGGCCGCGGGTACCCCTGTGGTGCGGGTGCGCGTTGGGGCCCTGGGGGACGTGTTGCCGGCGTCTGTGATGCCACCGGGTCACTGGTCGAAGATTGCCGAGTTACTGCTGTCTGACGGACCGGAGTGCTTTCGTGGGGGGGCAAGTTCCCTTCCTGTGGGGGCGAGTGGCGACTTCTCGCCTCATGAGTTCTACCATCTGGGTCCCCAGTTTGCAGGTGTTTGTTGCCCCGGTTCCAGATGTTATGGCGTCCCCGGTGGATGGACGAGACCCTTGGCAATGGGTGCTCTGGGAGGCGTTCAATGTAAGATTCCCGCGGGCCAAGTTCCTGGGCAAGTATATGCTCTGATTTCTTGTGCTTCTGCCTCTCCCTTTGTGCGTAGCTTTGCCATGTGGCATATTAGTTTCTAGTGCTTGGCGTCATTCATTTCGCGTTTTGGCTTAGCATTTCGCCTTTCCTGGCTTTGCGATTCACCCTTCACGGGTACGCCGGGGCGCATCCGATCCCACGATCGTCGTCGCCCCTAACTCAACAACAACAACAACACACGATCGTCGTCGCCCCTAAATCAACACAACAACAACAACAAGAGAACACAAAGAACATGGACTCCTGGGGACTCCTGGTTCAACCTTGACGCCGAGCGGACGTCTGGACACCTCCGCCTAGGAGCCGCCTGAGCACATTCTGTTTTCGCGTTTTGGCTTTGCTACAGCCGTTTGGCATCCCTCTTCAACGGTCCGACTGTACGACGCTTGGCGCACATATCGCCTTGGGTCACGGGATTGTTGATAGAGATTTTTTTTTTGGCGTGTTCTGGCTGGTTCTCCCGGCGGGGTGACGGTGTTCGGGGGCCGGCTTGGCCGAGAGGTGCCGGGGGTTGGCGGGTCTTGGTGGGCTCCTGGTGTGCCCTCAGTCATGGTGGGCGGCCGGCTTCTGCTCTGCCGGGG